ACAGCGCAAAGTTGTTGTATTTCCTCAGCGACCAGCACGGATCAGCTCTAGGCATGACGAAGCAGATATCGTCCTCTTCTGGAAGGCCAAACAAAGTAGTTTCGCTTTCACAACGAATCACACAGCGCCTTCATGGCATGGCGGCGGCAACAACAATACTACAGCGAGAATAAAAGTTACTGCGCCTTCTTTGTTTGCGTGAACATTTGGGTGGCGTTATGCAAATCTTCCCACATCGTGATGTAGATATGTGGGGGCGTGTTAGAACGAGCCGTTTTAGGTAGGCGTGGTTGACTCTTAACTTTTATAAAGAATATCTCTTTGGATTTGAGACTTTAGTCTTTGCAACTTTACAGATCTTCTTTATGCACCAAGAGCTTGTATCACTCCAAAGAGAAAGGAAAAATTGAAATCACATCATATGACCCCTTTAAAACTAGCCCAAAACTAGCCCAATCACGTTTCGAGGGGGTCCACCAGTGAAAATCGCGTTCAGGGGGGTAAAACACATTTTTTGGAGGGGTTTCCCTGGTAAAATTTGCATTTGAGGGACTAAATATCACGTTATTGGGGAAAAACATGGAAAAACAACCAGCAGCAACAATAGCCCAATTCTGTGGACTTGTCAACACTGCTGCTGCTCCATAAGCGCCACCTGCTGGCAGAGAGTGAATTTGCGTCTCGTCTGCTGTTTTTTCGTTCCATTCAGATGTTTTATGTAGTATAGTTTCACAAAACTATAAAGTCAGACCATTCTGTTTTTGCTTCAAATTTTGAAATTATACAATGCAATCGCGTTCAGGGGGGTAAAACACACATTTTTTGGAGGGGTTTCCCTGGTAAAATTTGCGTTTGAGGGACTAAATATCACGTTATTGGGGAAAAACATGGAAAAACAACCAGCAGCAACAATAGCCCAATTCTGTGGACTTGTCAACACTGCTGCTGCTCCATAAGCGCCACCTGCTGGCAGAGAGTGAATTTGCGTCTCGTCTGCTGTTTTTTCGTTCCATTCAGATGTTTTATGTAGTATAGTTTCACAAAACTATAAAGTCAGACCATTCTGTTTTTGCTTCAAATTTTGAAATTATACAATCTAATTTAGTTTAAAAACTGCTCATGTTGCATGTATGCAGCAGAAAAACATGGAAAAACAACCAGCAGCAACAATAGCCCAATTCTGTGGACTTGTCAACACTGCTGCTGCTCCATAAGCGCCACCTGCTGGCAGAGAGTGAATTTGCGTCTCGTCTGCTGTTTTTTCGTTCCATTCAGATGTTTTATGTAGTATAGTTTCACAAAACTATAAAGTCAGACCATTCTGTTTTTGCTTCAAATTTTGAAATTATACAATGCAATTTAGATTAAAAACTGCTCATTCTGCATGTATGATTTTTGGCATAAAAGATTTTGCATTTTGTCTGAGAAAAAATAAAAGGACACCTTTTCATTTCTATTTAGTCTTAAATCTCATTTTGTTAAAAGAATCGTATCGTGAAATCAGTACCGTGATTCGCCTCACATCGTGAGTGAAGTGAATCGTTACATCCCTGGTTACAACAAAACCTTTAAGAACAGAGAGAGTCTCAGAGACGAAACCTCTCTGAACAGCAACATTCAGTCTCACATTGACTGTAATATGTGGTATAACATAGTCGTACCGTCCAGAGGAGGTTCTGGTAGCGGATGAGCAGCCTGACGATGTTAGCCGTGCCAGTGGCCATAGCGAACTCCTGCTGTTCACTGATCTTACTGCGGAAGCCCTTGCACATGAAGATGTTGGGTGCCATCACCACTGCAACGTTGTTCAGCGTCATCTTATTCCTGTCTTTATGGTCGATCACTCTTTGGAAGAACTCCATCAGAGCCTGAGAGACACATATGGAGCTTATAATATGACAAAACTATTTGAATTTGTATTGTATAAATTTGAATTATTGACAAGTGGCATTTATCAAAATATTATGTGGCATTTAACATAGTTCTGAAGTTGATTTTTTTAACTTGAATATTGAACATTTGAAATTTAACACTGAATTTTTTTATAGCAGGGTTTTATAGACATGCATTTTCAAACAGCGAATTTTTTGTTCTGAATTTTTTGACTGCAAACATCCAGTTTTTAAAAATACAGCTTCAAGTTTTCAAGATGAAGAGGAAATTCGGAACATCAAATTCAATATTCTAAAATTCAATACGCAGAAATTCAGATCGTACAGAAAGTAGGTCAGAGGTAATCCACAGGGAAGAGTAGATGATCTCCGAAATGCCACATAATATTCAGTTTTGATAAATGCCACTTATCAATAATTCAAATGTATACAATACAAATTCAAATAGTTTTGTCATATTATAAGCTCCATAGACACAGAAATGCTGCTCAACTTAAAATAATCCAGGTGGATCTGCTTTAGTCCTCAGTGTGAATGGAGTTGTGTTTTTAATATGCTTAAAGACAAACCATTTGCAAATTCATCAACCAACACCATTGCCGAGTAGGGGTGTGCAATATTGACAAAAAAAAAATCTCAATATTTATTGAGATTTTTCAGATAACGATAATTAAACAATATTTTGCTTAGTGTGTTTTTGTGCTGGTGTCTTGGCTGGTTTAGGCCTGACATGGATAGATAAATAAATAAATAAATACGACACTAAAACCACAAGTCCCTGTCTTAATGAGTGACTCAATGAATCATTCATTCAAATGATTCGTTCAAAATTGCTGCTTCATTTAAAAACAAAGCAAGTGATTTATGAATGGCTCACTGAATCACTGAATCAAATGATTTGTTTAAAAAAACAATTAATTTGGGAACGAAACACTACAGTGTTGCACTGAGATGCAGGAATGTTCTGCTTCAGCTCAGTGTGGAACTATTTTCGTCGACCAAACGGAAAAAACAGACAACTGTGTCTAAAATGTAACAGACTTAATATTTACTTATTGTTTGTTGAACTGCTGTTTAAAATCAATATCACATTTGCATTCAGGAAAACGGCACTGGTGCTTGTGTGGTATTATGTAACTAAGTCGCTTTGGATAAAAGCGTCTGCTAAATGACAATGTAAATGTCAATATCATATCTTATAAATAAACAAAAACCCATACAGGGATATTTTTGCTGTCATAACTAAACAATAGAGTCTTTCTAACTGCATTCTAATAGTCTTCATCACACAGTGAATGCTTTTGGACTGTTTGCATGCATGTTTGTTTTTTGCACATTAAGTGACATACTCGATATCAGCTTACATATTGTTGAAATAACAATTACGATATAATCGCAGACAATAAATATTGCACACATCTATTGCTGCAGTGTACTCAAAACAATCTAAAAAAAAGGATTGAAACCGCCTGTTTTCTACTGACACAAACATGCAACCAATCCTGTCCACCTGCAGGGTGAGGCTTTTCATACCATCAGCACATCGCAGGAATACGGTTTGTGTAACATTCGCAAGACATTATTAGCTGTCTGATAACATAGTCAAGCAAAAGGCTTATGACAGGAATTACCGAAAAATGTCTGATGTTGTAGAGAGCGACACATAAAATGCATTACCATTCTGATACATGTAGGCGATGCTGTATAATTCACTCTTCCTCTTCTTCTTCAGAATAAGTTTTATCATATATATCTGAATGAATCCAATATTGTCACTTGCTATACTGTAGCATTCACTGCTTCACTTAACTGAGTGAGACTGGAGTGGGGACTAATATGCATATTCACGAGTCTGTGTATATGAAATGAGGTTAGGGTGTAGAGTTACATTCAAGACCTTTTAAGGCATAAAGAAATTATTTTAATGGGGAAAAAAATTTTAAATGTCACTTTGATTATCAAAGATGCATTTTAAGGGGAAATTAGTTGACTGATAGTCACAAATATCAGATGTCAATGCTGAGTTGAGGAAAAGTGAAGTGAATGTGTGAAGTGTGAATGCGCAGTGAAGGTGTGTCATACCTTGAGAGTGTCTCTGTTGGGTTCGGGCAGCAGGAGCACCAGCAGATTGAGAGCCTGCAGCTGCTGTTTCTTAGTGGGCAGCTCTGATCAGAACCAACACAATCACAACAATCACTGGCACACAGCACCAGAAACACAGATCTCACACACACACACACGCTTTCAGCCAGTGCTGCGCGATTAATCGAATGCTATTGTCATGCGCATCTTGTCAGTAAAGCTGGTTCTAGCAGTAAATCTCCATCACATGCTTACAGGTGGAGCGGCATTTACTACACAGAGCCGTAGATCACTGACAAGCTATGCAAAAAAAAAAAACATCGCAGACGATATAATCAGACGATTATGAAATTGAAGAAATCGTTTGCGATAATGACAGCTGTTTGCGTAGCTTCTCAGTGAACTACGGCTCTGTGAAGTAAATGTAGCTTCTCAGTGAACTACGGCTCTGTGTAGTAAATGCTGCTCCATCTGAAAGCACGTGAAAATTCCACATTTAATAACATGTTTTTACTCCAAACTCACTTTATAACGTCAGTCGAGTGTTTGAAATAAATCCTTCTGTGAGATGATGTGGCTTCTTACACAGAACAAGGCATGCAACATATTTCATAGTATTCTAAGCAGTGATAAAGGCATTGCATTATTATATACTTTATTATAATGAAAATTATCATAATAATTATAATAAGAACTCACATAAATCATATACTGTCATAGTCCTAGTGATGGGCACTTTCGAAGCACTGCTTCACGAAACTTTTGCGAATCATTTCGAAACAGTGGTTTCAAACCAAAGTCACGTGATTTCAGTAAACAAGGCTTCGTTACGTCATAACTGTTTTGAAAGGTTTCGAAATTTAAATGGTTGGCCGTATCTGCTGCCATCTACCAGGATAATGAAGATGAAATGAGGGTGGACATTCCAGCGAGACAATGATCCCAAACACACAGCCAAGGAAACTCATTTGTGACCCTGGACCACAAAAGCAGCCATAAGTAGCACAGGTATATTTGTAGCAATAGCCAACAATACATTGTATGGGTCAAAATTATCCATTTTTTTTTATGCCAAAAATCATTAGGATATTAAGTAAAGATCATGTTCCATGAAGATATTTTGTAAATTTCCTGCTGTAAATATATCAAAACTTAATTTCTGATTAGTAATATGCATTGCTAAGAACTTCATTTGGACAACTTTAAAGATGATTTTCTCAATATTTAGATTTTTTTGCACCCTCAGATTCCAGATTTTCAAATAGTTGTATCTCGGCCAAATATTGTCCTATCCTAACAAACCATACATCAATGGAAAGCTTATTTATCCAGCTTTCATATGACGTATAAATCTCAATTTCGAAAAACTGACCCTTAAGACTGGTTTTGTGCTCCAGGGTCACATATTATACAGACGCTGGTATTTTTTGATTTTTTTTTTGCATTTAATGTATTATACTTTCAATAAAACACTTTTGATCAGCAGGCATCACTAGTATGTGGTGTTTCGAGCGCTTCGAAACAGTGAATCATTTTGCGAAGCGATTGGTTCAATTGATTGGTTTGTTTCTCCCATCACTACGTAATCCTGTGTTTATTAGTCACGCTGAAACAATGAAAGCAGTTAAATCTTCTGTTTATTCAGCAACCGCTATAGGTATTTCCTGGGTTTCTCTGGCCTTCGGATGGAGATTTACTGCTGATCACAGAACCGTGCTTCACTGACAAGATGCACATGACAATCACAGATTCTGCCTAATCGCGATTGCGATTTATTGTCACTGTACAGGGTGAAGTAGGACTCACTCAGCACAGAGACGAAGGCGTTGAAGTACTCGACGGTCAGCAGAGGATAAGGCAGCTCCCTGATGAACAGCTTCAGGAGACTGGCTACGTCGTGCTGTTTGAGACTCTCCCACGGGAACACGCCTTCGTAAAACTTGTGTTCCAGCTCATGACAGACGGCCTGGGAAACAACAGACACATTACAGTAGCGTTCTGATGTGATGATGTTAATCGTGTATGCTAGAATCTCTCTCACCTTCACTCTAGTAGCGGCTCCAGGGATCCGCAGCACACCCTCTGTGTCTAAACCCTGCTCCTCTATATGAGAGATCAACTGGAAACAAACGTTTAATATCTTACTGTGCGTTTTGGAGCTAGTTTAAATTAGCAGATCACATATCATATGTATATTACTACTCAAAAGTTTGCTGTTGGTAAGATTTTTTTTTATGCTTTTGAAAGAAGTCTCACCAAAGCTGCATTTATTTGCTCAAAAATACAGTAAAAACAGTGAAATATTATTAGAATTTAAAACAGCTCTTTACTATGTAAATACAGTGGGTACGGAAAGTATTCAGACCCCCTTCAATTTTTCACTCTTTGTTATATTGCAGCCATTTGCTAAAATCATTTAAGTTCATTTTTTTTCCTCATTAATGTACACACAGCAATACTTTCCGTACCCACTGTATATTGTATTTTTTTTGCAATTTCAGTGATCAAAGCTGAATTTTCAGCATCATTACTCCACTCTTCAGTGTCACATGATCTTCAGAAATCATTCTAATATGCTGATCTGCTGCTCAAGAAACATTTCTGATTATTATCAATGTTGAATACAGTTGTGCTGCTCAATATATTTATGTGGAAACTGAGACACATTTTATTTTTCAGGATTCTTTGATGAATCGAAAGATCAAAAGAACAGCATTTATTTGAAGGAGAAATATTTTGTAACATTAAAAATGTCTTTACTCTGAATAAACAGTATTTTCTTTTAAAAAATGTATTGGCCCTAAAAAGTATTTGATAACATTTTATGGTGTCCTTGTTACATAACAATAAATTATGCATAATTGCATGCAACTAAACCTAAGCCAAACCCTCATCCTAACATCCTAACCATATAGTAAGTACATGTAGTTAATAAATACAGTCAGATTTCTTGTAATGAAGGAGGTTGTGTTTGGTTGCCAGGGTGTTGCTAAAAGGTTACTATAAAGATGTTTCAGTGGTTGTTAAGAGTATTTGAGCACTTTTAGCAAATACCAAAATGTGACCGCTAGGGTTTTCTAGCCCATCTTCAAGTCTCTGACATTCAGGTCTGGACAGTTGTACTATCGGACTTCTTGCACTGAACTCAAAATAATGGTGCCATTACTGCTGGGAAATATAAATGCTTCCAATCTCAAAGGATGACAGGTAGATTTGTAGTAGTTTCCGAGTTAATGCCCCTGGTCTGCGTTACCATCATGTTTGCTTGGTTACAGTTCTAAGTCTCTGCTCTCTTACATGCTGCAGGATAAGAGGCACTTTGGTTCCCGGGATCCTCCGCTGGTCTTGTTCCAGCAGCGTAGAGAGAGAAACACCAAACAAACCCGACTCTACGGAAGACAAAACAATACAGTCACAACCAGCTTCAGATTCAGTGCTCGCATGTTCACACACAATTACATGAATCATCATCAAAACCAATTAAAGATCAGACATGAAAGTGCTCTTTTTATAAGGGGCTTTGTCTCCAGCATGCACATGTGTGAACAAAACGGATGTGAAATGTTAGCACAGTGTGCAAGGAAAACATACAGTGAACTCAAAGGTCTGAGAGCATTTTCAGATCCAGTCTTTTGATTCTGAACACATATCAGAGGCACTGACCTCTCACTTTGACCTTGAGAGCTTTATGAGCCTTCACCTCGATGCCACACGTGTCGAACAGAGCGCTCATCTCGATCAGAACAAGCCTGCGAACCTTCTTCATGTCCTCAGCGGACAGATCGCCTACTCTTGTCTGTCCGGTCTTATCCTGGGACACTTTAAAATCCTGAAAGACAAGAAACAGAATGAGAAAAAAAAATACACGGACGCATTTATAAAATGCTGTATGTTGGCTTTATTGTGTGTTTTAGCCGTGTGGTTGCTGAGCGCTGCTGTGATGTTCTGGTCTCTAATTATGCCGTCCCTCCTTTAACAAGACACATGATTTGAGGAACCATTCATGTCTGGAGCACAAACACTGCAGGATGATGCACAAACTCAACATAATACTGGTGTTTGTGTTCAGAATGCAGAACTAAATGTAATGTAATATAACCGTAATAGTGATTTTTGGGTAATGTTAGTTTAGAGATAAATTCTCACTATTAACTAGCATGCATATTACTTGCATATTTGCTGTTTATTAGTACTCATAAAGCACATATTAACGTCTTATTCTGCAGATCCTTTACTCCCACCCAATACCTGAACTTAACAACTACCTTCCTAACTATTAATAAGCAGCAAATTACGAGTTTATTGAGGCAAAAGCATAGTTAATAGTTTAGGGCTGTGCAATTAATCGCATGTGATTTGTCATGCGCATCTCGTCAGTAAAGCCGGTACTGTGATTAGTAGTAGTTCACTGACAAACTACGCAAAACTGCGTTCATAATCGCAGACTAATCGTGGCTGTGTGTATTAAATGCCGCTCCACCTGAAAGCACGTGATTTACTACTAATCACAGAACCGGCTTTACTGACGAGATGCGCATGACAATCACATGCGATTAATTGCACAGCCCTAATAGTTAATAGTGAGAATTGGTCCCCAACTAAAGTGTGACAGATGTTGAAAAGTTGAAAAGGGAAAGGATGCATAGAATACAGAAGACCAGAGCAGGATGCAGTGCCACATACTGTCCAGCAGAGGTCAGGTTTACTCAATAAGAGCACACACACACCGATCTGACTGAGGATCCACATTCATGTCATTCAGTGATTCGACTAATGCTTTAAATCTTTCGTTTGACATTTTTGCACTCTAAAAACATATGCAGTCTGATCAAAGGTCTCTGTGAGACTCATAACCATATAAACATTGACATTCCTTAATCCTCAAGTGTTAACCTGATGAGTGAATGTCTGACTCACGGGTAACCTGTCGTCAGCTTCATTCTGGGGCTGGGTAACCTTCAACCCTTCTTTGTAGATAAGTGCTTGCTCGGAGAACGACACCTCCAGGTTAATGTCCGTCTCAGCATCAGCTCCGCCCCCTGGAGCGCCAGGCCCCACCCCATTACCTACCCAAACAATAAACACACACACACAACATCTCACGCTCTGAAACTAGGTGCAGTTGTATTGGTGCACTCGACCATCTTGCATCACTCTTCGCTGATTAAACAGTTACCTAAATCAGGCTAGTCGAAGTCCAGCAATCACTATTTGGCAGTCATTATTTGGCAGTCAGTGATAACTTAACCACAGTCACCTCTGCTCCCAAACACACACTACAACTGCAAAGCAACAGCACAATCTGTCTGGAGGACTTTCACTCGGTACTAATCCCTGAAGTCTTTAACTCCAGCCACTTTTAACAGGTGACCCCTGATTCCAGCAACATCTCACACCTGTGATTGTGAAAGAGGCTCAGTACTGCATTTAATCCAGCACTATGAGCAAAGCAGAGCCAAACACAGCAGTGCAACAGACAACCAATCATTAACTGACTGTCTCGTGCGCTATTTTAAGATGGAAAGATTTTCACATGCTCCATTTAGTTCTGAGAAAAACTCAAACAGCAATGGTAAACACCTACAGTGAAGTGAAGAATAAAAATATGATTAAAACTAGTGCTGTCAACATTAGCGTGTTAACACGGGATTCATTTTTCCAGTTTAACACGTTAAAAATATTTAACGCAGGGGCGGAGCTAGGGTTGGCCACCCCACTCACAACTGCTGCTTCGGTTTCTTTTTTCTTGACAAGAATTGCATTTATGTAGACGCAGAACATTTTTATGACCACATCAAGTGTGCACGAGTACAGAAACGGTACAGATGACGAGGAGCTTTTCCTTTCCTGTAGCCTGTATCATTTCATATGAAAACACATGAATCAAACTTTCTGATCCGCATCAAGTTCAGCAGCGGCAGCTCTTAAAGTAATAGCAGCCCAAAAAAAACTAATAATCAGCTGCTGTGATCTCTGTTCATGAAAGAACAAAAGAAAAAAGAGGAAATCAATCACTTTTGTAGCTTTAAGGATTCATATATATATATATATATATATTTAATTTAGAATGTAGTGTTTGATACCTTTATCCAATTTCTGTATATTGTCTACTTGATAACTCTCAATTAAACTGTAATGTTCGTATAGTCAACATTATATATAGTCAATGGTTAAATATTAGGGGGGGAAAATTTCCTAGAGACATCAGTAAGTAGTATTGGTATCAGTGATACTCACCTTCAGTCATGAAAAAAATGCCACTAAACAAATATAAAAATATACTGTCTTTATGTTTTCTACATTCATTTGAAGATTGAATGTGAAATTATTGCAATATAAAAGTATATTTAAAAACTTTAATGTTAGGTGGGATTAATCCCAATTAATTTCAGAAACATTTTTTTTACGATTAATTAGTAAAACATTTTAATCGATTGACAGCACTATTTAAAACCAATTCTACGATTTTTTTTCTTTTAATTTAACTTCTTTTTTTTATTTTTGTCTTTTTTGTTGTAGCATGTTTCTGGCGATTTGAGACAAGCAGACTACTTTTCCATAGATCTGAAACATCAGATCAGTGGATGCTGTACTTGTCAAAACTGATGTTATTGACTTTGCAAATAGGTAAATAAGAACATTAACCCAATGTTTAACAATGTACAGTGTGAGATGTCAAAACTTGACAACCCAGGATTGATTACTATCCCAGGGTAAAGTATGAACCCTGTAAAACATACAAGATAACCCAGCAGCGTATAAAGCTCATACAACACCTCTTTACAACACCTCTATCGCTTTTATTTCCATTGGTCTATCATTTACAATAAAAAATGTTATTTGTGTCCTGCTTGTATCTCTGAACAGGTGTGAATGATTAGACGTAAGGTTAAGTGATTCTCCTTCTCTGGATGTCAAGGTCAGCAGAAGCCGAGGACAGACACATTTTATATAAAGCAAAAGGTATCATTTCAGTTACAAACCCTAATGAAAAAAATACTAAAATGTATTTTAAATACATTTATTTGTGGTAAGTATACTACAAATACATTTACATATTTATGTGCTGCAGTTGTAGTTTTAGTATACTAAACTGGTAAGCTTAAAGTCTGCTAAACTGGAACAACTCATTTTGTACTAAATGCACTTCAGTTGTGGGGAAGTAGTGCTGAAGTCCAACTTAAGATTCACTGAAGTATATTTGATAATAAAAGTGGAAAAGTGAAACTATTGCAAGTATACTTCAGGTGCATTTGCATTTAAAGACTGATATTATTCAAAGATCATACAATCCTTATTATTAATAGTGATATTAAAACATATTTTAGGCTTAATATTAAGAAATGTGCATTGTGCAATAAGGAAATACTCCAAACATTTAATATCAGTTAGTCTTAAGTGATGTCTATATACATATGGTAATGGATTTAAAGTATATGAATGGTTCATTCATTTCATATGGTAATGGATCTAAAGTATACTTAGTATGAAAAAAATGTATTTTAAATAAATAGTTTTGTTTGTTTTTTTACTAGGGAAAGCAATGGACATCCCAGCATGTTCTCTGTGCTGCTTTGCCATTTCATGTTAAACACTACATGTTTCAGGAGTGCCATAAAACAGAAGCCGCTGTATTACACTTCAACTCATGACACATACCCAGTCCTTCCACTTCCTGTTTATTGCTCCCACTTCTTTCTGTGGATCCAGCCTCATCCTGTCAGAAAAAGAGAGCGATGGAAAACAAGAGAAACAAACTGTTAGCATGTGCTGAGAGTGAATCAGCACTGAATCACACACACACACACTCACACACACACACAAACACACACACTCACACGCTCACGCACTCACACGCTCGCACACTCACACGCTCGCACACTCACACACTCTCACACACTCACACACTCACACACACACACACTCACACTCACTCACACACACACACTCACACACACTCACACACACTCACACACAACACAGTCTTACTCACACACACACACTCACACTCACTCACACTCACACACACACACTCACACACACACACACACACTCACACGCACACACTCACGCACACACTCACGCACACACAGGAGAGAGTGTGATGTTATGTTATGTTAATCATTCCGTGCCAGATCCAAAAGTCTGAGGCCTCATTAAATCCTGGAGATCTTTCAGATTCTGCTTTTCTAGGTGAATAATCTAATGTCAGTGACACTGATCATGTGAGTCTCTGTCAGATGTTGCTGATGCTCTTTGGATCGTCTCAGATCATGCTGGAGAACATGAGCATCAGGTTGTGTTCCTGTAGCTCCATTCTGATGAGGATTTTCTCAGAGTCTCTGACTTTCAGTCTTAGTTCACAATATTGATTATTTAGAGCAGCGTCTAGCAGGAACATAAATCACAACTTACAGCTGTCCTTAATAAACCACTCAATATGGCACAATAAATGACGTTAATGTTTGTGATTTATCACATCCTTCAAACTGGAAATAACCCTTCACTTTTACGCTTTCTCGGTTATTCATTACACTGTGCTGAAATGTTTATTAACAGGGAACTACTGTGTAATTGGTGACACTGTTAACAGCCTGTCAAAATATGTCAGAGAGACTGCATTTACAAGGCTTAATGCACAGGTCTGATATTTTGACCATATCCAGCCTTTTGTCCAACCTGTTTAAATTCACTTAAGACACGATTCATATGTGTTTACATGAATCCCCAACCAATTCCACTGTGACATGATTGACCCTCGGGTTTTGTATTGCCGTTTATAAATATCATTTAAAAAATCAGATTTGTTGTGCCAGTGTAAACGCAACCTTACTAGTAGGACATCCTTCATCCTGCTAAAGCTTTGTCATATGCCAACGGTTTAGACTGAATCAGACCATCTGGCAGACTGTCACTGATCTGTATTATTTCACTAATTATAAATGTCAAAGACTCACAGATTCTCCCCAGTCAAGCCAATCATTGGTCTCTAACTCGTGTATGCATCTTACGGAGCTAAAAATCTTGATTTACACTAATGCAAGGTCAGTCACGTACTTTACTCTGTGAAGCAGGAGATGGTTTAAAGATCTCTCGAACATCCGGGACACTGTACGGTTTGTTGCGTTTGCGTAGCGTCTGTTTGAGCGTCTCCACGCGTCTCTCCACGGCGGCCGCTTGCGTTCGGGTCAGAGTCGACAGCAGAACGATGCCATCCTCGCCGTCTGAAGCCGATTCGTCGAACAGCGTCGCAAGCCCCGCCTCCATCAGCCACGCCTCCTCCTGCTCGCCCTCTGCAGAGCACAACACAACACGAACATATGTGACCCTGGAGCACAAAACCAGTCATAAGCAGCACAGGTATATTTGTGCATATTTGTGTTCTTTTATGCCAAAAATCATTAGGATATTAAGTAAAGATCATGTTCCATGAAGATATTTTGTAAATTTCCTACTGTAAATATATCAAAACTTCATTTTTGATTAGTAATATGCATTGCTAAGAACTTCATTTGGACAACTTTAAAGATGATTTTCTCAATATTTAGATTTTTTTGCACCCTCAGATTCCAGATTTTCAAATAGTTGTATCTCAGCCAAATATTGTCCTGTCCTAACAAACCATACATCAATGGAAAGATTATTTATTCAGAAAATTGACCCTTATGACTGGTTTTGTTGTCCGGGGTCACATATGTAAGATAAGCCCAGACATTTCTGACACACAGCTCTGGGATTCAACACTCGCTATCAAACCCAACCACACTCGCTTTACTGTATTCTCCTCATTAATTATTTAAAACCTCTTATTAATCACACAAGCGGTGCAGTGACATATGCAGTATGTGTTACTGTGTTATTTTAGGAGGAAGGCATTAATCCAGCTGACAGGAAACAGAAATATCTTCCTTTTCCGGTAACTTCACAATTTAGACACTCGCAGAAGTTAAGGAAGTCACAGTTTGTTGTTCCTTTAGGGGCAAACAATTCCCGCTGACTCACGACTGATCTCCGTCTGTGGTTTTTATGCTAGGTTCTTCCTGTAAGTTAAGCCTATTGTTCTTACACATGGAGGAACATAAGCATAGCGCCACATACAGTGCCTTTGAAAGGTGTTCGGTTTCAAAACGTAAATATGTTGAATATATTCATTCATTCATTCATAAAATGTATACCCCTCATAAGGCTACCCAGGTCAAGCAGTATGGTTGAATTTTCCATTTACACAAAGAAGTGAGAGATATAATTTCAGTAATTCAATAATTTCATTCATTCAGCAGTGTGACAGAAATGTAAGGCTGATGATAGACGGAGCAACTTTGAGCAATTTTGCCGTGCAACTTTTTTTGAGCAACGTTGCATGGGCACTTTCCCATTGAGAATGGGTAACAAATTTCTTCTTGGATATTTTAGATCCGTCGTGGGCTCTGTGTCTCACCTGGTTGCCCGTTGACGGCAAAATTGCTCAAAAAGTTGCCCAGTGCATCATCAGCCTAAGTGCAAGTCGTGTTTTAATCTTGCTTCACGCAGCATGCCGAACTCAGCAGAAAACATGCTGAAAATGTACAAGAAACCCATTAGTCATCACAAGCTTTTGCAATATAGCCTTTTACATGGAGCAATGCAAAATAATGGAGCGAATGACTCACCACTTGTTTGAAAAAAACATAAATAAATACGTCTGTAGGGTTTAATCCACATACAGAGACACAAAAACTGTCTAATTAGTCAATCTGACCAAATCCAGATGATTTAAGGCATTTAAAACAGGGTTACTATTGTTAACTAAAACTAAAACCATAAAAATCTTGGGGGGAAAAACATTTAAAGGAAACTTTATTTCATTAATTACTTTCAAATAATATTACATATACAACTAAATAACTAAATAAATTAAATTAACTAAAAACTAAAACTTAAACCTAATAAAAACTGTACAGACATTAAAAAAGTTCAATACATCAAGTTCATATAATTTTTTCATATTTATTTTCAAAATATTTATTTCTAATTTAGTGAATATTATGGTCATTATACAATTAATTTCAGCAATTGTTATGCATATGGTTTTACTACATATTAACAAAAACTATACACATAAAAACACATTATTTCAGCTGCATTATTATTATTATTATCATTATTATTACACCTGAACTTTGGGTTTTGTGTAGATTAATCATCATTTAAATTTAAGTGTGATACTCCTCGTGTGATTAGTTTTAATGACAACATGGTTTGTCATAATTCAACACAGCCAATAACTATTTTAGGTTATACTTCAGTTTGGGGACCAATTCTCACTATGAAGTAATTGCTTGCATATTACTAGCTAATTGTCTGTGTATTAGCACATATTAATGCCTTATTCTGCATCATATTTTAGATCCCTCAATCTGACCCCATACCTAAACTTAACAACTACCTTACTAACTATTAATAAGCAGCACATTAGTCTGAGGCAGAAGTTGTAGTTAATAGTTAGTTAATGGGGAGAAGTGGTCCCCCAAACTGAAGTGTGACTCTTTTGTAGTTTTATAATTAATGTTCATTTTTAAAGGCAGTCTTAAATTAAATAATCCAGAAATGGTTTTATTTTCTGTACAGAGCTGGCTCGGTCAGGTCTGATGGTAGTTGACTCTTGTATTGCAGTTAAAGTGCCCCTATTATGGATTTTTTTAAAGTACCTTTCATGCAGCGTGTAACACAGCTCTAAGTGATTGAAAACATCCTGCAAAGTTTTAAATCTGAAAGTGCACCGTGTATAAAGTGTTGGTCTGAATTAAAATGCAAATTCATTCTTTGCCACTAGATGCCGCTTTTGGAGCGGAAAAAATGAGGGCTGTGACGATAAATCGATGCAGAATCTATTCGTGGATGGATTCTGAGATCTTCCGAAAGCATCGTGATTCTCTCTGGAATCGATTCTGAGCTTAGATTTTAACAGCAGATGGCGCTCTACTCTAGTTTTCATCCGCACACTCAAATGCTCATGAAGAAGAGCGCTGAAGAGCACTTGTGCGTTCGCTGAGTCTGCAATTTCACCTCGGCTCAGAACGCTTTTATGACGCCAGATTAATGTAAACACAGTCCACTGTGAACACCCTTGTGATTCGCTTCAAACTTTTCGAATTTTATGAATGATTATTTTAGGTTCAAGTGTGTGGAAGGATTTGGAAACCAGCAGAGTACGGCTGTTTCTAAAGCATCTGCTGTTCAAAACTAAGCTCAGAATCGTTCGAGAAAGAATCGCGATGCATTCGGAAAATCTCAGAATCGATGCGTGATCATTTCTCGATTCGCGATGCATCGATTTATTTTCCCAGCCCAAGTAAAAAAAGCGGTTTCCCCGGTAACGCTGTACACAAAGCAGCACTGCGCTCACAAACACTGCTTTATCAGGCGTTACAGGCATGACGCGGACCAATCACCGCAGATTAGTGTCACGCAAAGGAGGGGTTTGGAAAAATGAATCGTTGAGCGAATCTTTTGGGAGTCGTTGAGCAAGCAAGGTAAAAATAAATGCATATTTTAAGACAATAAAAGTGTTTTTTGACCTTGCATGCATGTCAACCTGTTGTTGGGGACTCCCAAAACCAAAATATGAACCTTTCATTACCCATAATAGGGGCACTTTAAAGCAGAGCGACGGGCGGTTCTTACCATCAGCCACCTTCAGCTGCAGGTCCTCCTGCGTCTCTGCGTCTCCGCTGCGCTGGATGATCTCCACCTCTCTGAAGTAGTCCACCATGGCCTGCTCGTCCAGAGAGTCCTGGGAGCTGCAGCGCTGGTACGGTGCTTTCCCTGAGCTCGAGCACAGAGCTGCACCGGCCGCTTTGCCCCGCTGGACATTGTACTGGCCGGTTCTGCGGCTGCGTGAACAAAGAGACAGAGACAGAGGTGTGAAATACACCAAATCAACATCACATTCAGATGCTTTAATCACACTCCAGCAGTCACTGAGACCATCACTGCTGTCTCAGACACCGAAGGCCACTCTAACACCAGCACTTCTCCGTTTGCACTGGACTCAATGAATCATCAGCATCTGGTTATAGTCTGGAGGAAATGTATTTTTAATGATGGAAACTTCATGATTGTAATGTTCATTTCTGTTGACTGATATTCATCACCTAGAGCTCAGGGCCATTTTTAAACACTGATCACCAAGATTGCAAATGTTTTTTAAAGATTTTTATTATAATGTTTCTTACAAGACAAATATTACATGGCTTATCAGGATCAATTTATTTGCTTCATATTTGTGTACATTCTTTTTTATCCCTATTTCTGAATTTTGGTGAAGCAAGGTTTGCACTAGAGATGCAACTAACAATTATGCATTGATTTATGTATGTATTTATTTATTTAAAATCTAAAAATGCTTAGATTAAATATTGAAAATTATTAAGAAAATTATTAAATATTAATAATATTTAATACATTTGCACTAGGGATGCAACGAACAATGATGTATTTATTTTTTTATTTAGATTAAAATCTAAAAATGTTTAAATTTATAAAATATAAAAGATTTTATTCTATTATTTATTACAATGTTATTCCACATCCTGCCCAATGTTGTCCTCCAAACAATGTCCAATATGTCCAATGCAAAGAAATACAGTGAACATATCTATGCTGTAAAGCACCAATACCATTTTTCTTATCATTTTAAGGTAGACGTTAAATTGAATCTACATTAAAAATGATAATAAAGAAAAACAAAAGCACAGACTAAATGTTACCTGATACAATGCAGGAGAAACACACATATTCTGTGAACACTGTAATTATATTACATTTATACTCCATTACATCACTCCCTTTGCTGTTACTGCTCTAGAAAAACACCAGCACTTAAGAAACCCTGACTAGCATTATACTGTAAGTGGACTTCAGGGAGAAATGCTACAACAGTGCAGAATATGACTCTTCAGCATATGAGCTTTGAGCCGTTCTTCTCATTCGATGCATGACACAGCAGGTATGAAGAGTCCCGCTGCTCACCCCGCCAGAGGGATCGAGTCCGGAAGTGCGAAAAATAAGCCTCTGTGCTATGAGGACATAAAGATGCCATTGTCAGGCTGATTGTTTGGCTGTTTGTACGGGGCAGGGTGGTTTAAACAGGCTGCTTTGTTCCCTCTCAGGATGAGCGAATGAATAAACGCTCAAAGCTCAGCACTCTTCACTGCTGCTGGACACAGGAGCTACTGGATGTCGTCAAGCAGTTTGTATCTGAGATTTCAGTACAGTGAGGGTGTAATGGGGGCAGTCTGGAAAACGGTGAGCGAGCAGAACTGTGCTGCCAGTGACTCTCCAGTTTCTGGGTCACTGCCGCTTTAGGACTGAACCTGTAACTGTGCATTAGTGGCCAGTGGAGGACGAAGTACACAAATCAAGAGCTTGAGTAAAAGTACAAGTAGCTTTTAATGTTTAATGTACTTAATTATTCAAGGTAAAAAGTGCTGATTGATGATCATTTGAATCAGTGAGTTGTTAACTAAAGACTCACTCTGACCGGATCATTTGAATCAGTGAGTTGTTAACTAAAGACTCACTCTGACCGGATCATTTGAATCAGTGAGTTGTTAACTTTGAGACGCAGGGAGTGAGTTGTTTACTAAAGACTTGCTCTGACCGGATCATTTGAATCAGTGAGTTGTTAACTAAAGACTCGCTCTCATCGGATAATTTGAATCAGTGAGTTGTTAACTAAAGACTCGCTCTGACCGGATAATTTGAATCAGTGAGTTGTTAAAGGTCCCATGGCATGAAAATTTCACTTTATGAGGTTTTTTAACATTAATATGAGTTCCCCTAGCCTGCCTATGGTCCCCCAGTGGCTAGAAATGGCGATAGGTGTAAACCGAGC